CCGTGGTGCGCGTCTCAGCTCGCACTTGAGAGAAAATTTACATTTTGAAGCTTAATTGCGACTGTGAGGAGAAGAGCTCGATGGGGAATTCCTTAATGTGCAGTTAAAACTTTAAATGTTGTTAATTCAAAGTGTTTTTGTGGTAATCGAGGACGAAACTGAAGGATATTTTAAATGAGTGAGTGTGAGCTTAAATTTCTAGGTAATTACAACAGATTTTCTCAATTTCTTCATGGCTGTGCCGTTTCGTTCAGTCCATATGCCCGAACACCCATATCTTTGTTTATACGATGTCCTAACAGCCATATTAAACCAAATGTCCAACCATTAAAAATCGCACGCGTTTCCTTACAAAACACATATGTGTATGGTTGGCTGTGTGTATGGTGTGGGTGTGTATCTGTGTGAGGGGTGAGTTTTTCTGTATGTATTTGTGTGCAATTTATTATGAGATGCTTCATCTTAAAGGCCCCACAAAAAATAAAGCTGACTGGGCCATAAATTCCTTTTAATAACATATTCAAATTTAGATAATATCCAACTCTAGTGCAATATTTATGGCTGCATCCTTTAAGGACTCGGATTCAGATTGAAAAGTCTACCGAATGAAAAGTCTACTAAGACAGGACTTGAACTTTGGCAAGTCAAGATTTACCTTTTCAGTTTCAGGGAAAGCCAATAAAGTCCTGAATTTTCTTCTTATCATCCTGCCAAGTGCTTGTAGTTTCATTTCGGATTCATAGTTGGGGCAAGAACTTCTTTTTCGCATTTACGTAAGAATCTTCATGAATATGTATTCCCCAAGGAATGTGTCTATCCTGCCCGCCCAACCACCTCACTGGTTCTCCGCCTCTCTGCCTGTCTGTGTATGTTCATGTCCTTGTTATTAATGAAGCATTTGCAACGGCTCCACTAACTTAGCGGACTTTTCCGCAGAACTGGCAATAGCCTGGCCCGGGGGTGTAGGGATTTGGAAGGGATTTACATGAATTGACTGACGACGACTGCCTTCGTTTGCAGCTCCTATTGGAGATGTGATTTTCTTGGTTCGTACAGAGAAAATAATTGGGAACTAAAACTGAAAATAAGACAGCTACGAAGAACGTGCTATTTTATGTCTAGTAATGCCTTTATTCAATTTTTATGAATTTTTAAATATAATTGAACATATTTCTTCATGTGCAGCTTCTCTATGTGTCGTCCTTAGGCGGCGATTTGCCCTACCATCTCGTACATATCTCCAATTGCCGTTTTCAATGGCAAGAACCGTACAAGAAATGGAAATTTATTGAACAGCATTCATATGCTGCGCATTATTAATATCGATTGGGGGGCGTTGTGGGTGCGGAGCGTCTTAGCCAAGAAGTGGCAAAAAGCGGCAAGTGGGAAAAGGGCAATGGAGATTTTCCATATTCCCAGGGTGACTGAAGGCGCATCCAAGGGCTCCGAGTGGGTGTGTGGATGGGGGGTGTCCAAGATTGAGATAGCATAGACAGTCATGCACTTTTCTAGATGCCTTCAACACGCTGATAAAAAAATAGAGGAAAATGTAAAAAAAAGAGGCCTACAACAATGACGATAGGTTTTTTGGTGTGTTGGCATCCCCCAAGATAAAACAGATCCGCTTCTTTGTGCCAGCATTGTTTCCAGCTTGGCATAAAAGGAAAACGTGACACATGGACACACATACTCGAAGGTGCTAGGACATTGGACACAGGATGAGGAGCAACATCTGTTTGCAACTAAACGGCCGTTCAGCAATAATCAGGCGGCCTTTGTTGTTGTCATTAGAATGCGGCAGGTTGCCAACAGAGTCCAAGTCCCATGCCCAGAACCCAAAACCCTAAATCCAAATTCCAAATCCAACCCATATGATTATATGAGTTTTTTTTTCTGAGAAAAAGAAACACGTGACATGTCAGCAGGTGGACCTTTCCCAAAAGGTGCTGCACCTTATAATTTGATTTCTCTAGTCCCAACAATTCCATGAAATTTGATATATATTTTTGGTTTCAGACCATTGCCTGGCCTTTCAAATTTTCGCCAATAGATCAGCACCAGAAGAGAAAAAAAACAAAACAATTTGTAAAAAATCATTTAGGAAAATGAAAGACGTGACTTCGTTGCATTCTCAGCTGCTGGGGATGTTCATAAAAGGAGCAAAAAAAATTGATTTTTTTATAAAAAATAAAATAAAAGAAAGAAAAGCATCACAAAGTGGCACACTCTCTGGCACACACAAACACACACAGTGGCATACAAAGAAAAACGCTTCTAGGCAGCCGCAAAAGCAGAAACAGAAGTAGGCCACACTAGGAGCATTTCCCCCATGGCACCCACACTGCTACATCACCACGCCCCTTGCCGCCTTTCTAAACGCCACTGTTGGAACCCTTAAACTCTTGTTTGAGCTGCACTTGGAGAAGAAGCAAATGGTGGTCAGGATATTGCAGCAAAACTAGAGGATCAGGATCAGGATGGTAAAAAGCTTAGAAAATTTTAAAAATCAACTATGATCTTTTAGGGAATAAATTCTTTAAAAATATTATAATGAGTATTTCTTTAAGAATAGTATTCTCTTTAAGAAGAGTATTCACACCTCGACGGTAGTGAGTTTTCCCTCAACTACTTAACTCTTGCCACTTTCTTGGCTACTTAGTTGCAGAAGCCGTTGGCTGGTTTATTGGCTGCGATTTAGTTGCGTTATGGCCAAATGATTGAGTGGCCTAAGAGTGCCACTAATGCGGAGCGTGCTGAGCCATGCCCCTCGACAATGGCAGCAACGTGCGAAAGTTGCACAATTACTGCCCCATAATCATTATCCAACTGGCACTGCTACTATTCCTGTTTCCACTTCCATTCCAATGTTGTCGAGAACGTATGCGTATTTGATTTTTCTTTTTACATTTTTGTTTTTGTTTTTCCTTTTTTATAGGAATATTGTTTCAACGAGTTTTCAGTCAAGTGCCGTGTGAATGATATCCTTGCAAATCCTTTGCCAGTTTTAGCGACAGCGACTGAAACAAAAGTCCTTAGAAGCGACAGTGGAAAGCATCAGCGAAAGGTAAGCTGATTATGTAACACACACTCACACACAAAGAGAAAGTGGATGTGTGAGTGTGCATGGCAGATAGCATTAACAAGCGTCGCACGCTGACGCCATTTTGGTTCGCAACTTTTCAACAGCTCTTTTTCAACTGTTTTTATTAGTGATTTCCGTTGAAAACAAGTCCAAAATATGCGCATTAGATACATTTCAACGCCACCTGCCGCTACCAGTGTCGCTACTCCTGCCTCTGCCACCAAAATGGAAACTAAGAAACTTTTTGTGTGTTTGACGAATATGTTGAGCATGCACCTGCACCTGTCCGCAGACTTATTTCCACTTATCCGTTATTGTTTTAAGGCTGGCTTACACAGCAAAAAATAAAAGTTTTCTTTTCATAATTGGAAATATTTTGAATGGGAACTACTAGAAGGATCTATAAAGCTTAAAGACAAAAGGCGTAAGCTTATAGTTAAAATACTGCCTACCTAACTAATTTCTTACCGTGTGTCCTTAATCCCTAAATGTTTTAAAGACAAAGTACTGTAATCTTAAACTTAAATCGACGATCTACACAACAACAAACACCCATCCAGATATCCCTTTCTAGATAATTGATTAGGCCTTTGGGTCGATTCAATCCGAGCCCTGGAGTTCGATAAACCAGGCAGACAATGCAAAACAAAGGGATCCAACGCCCGAAATTGCCCAACTTGCCAGGCAGGCTTGCTTGTTAGGTTGGCATGTGAGGAGCAGAAGGGGTAGTCCTGGCAGTCCTGGTCGACCTGACTGCCATGACATTTGAATAATGCACGTACCAACCGAATGGGGGAGCCGTTCTGCCTCGGCAGAAGCAGACCAGACCACCAATTCATTATCGATTGAATCGATGTGCAATGAGAATTGAAAACTGATGGAAATTTCCTCGAAAGCACTGGCTTTTGGGTTGAAAAACAATAGGCACGGATTCGATATGGCCACAAGTCAAATGGAATTCAATAAAGATTGGTATTAAAGTCACCAGCCGGTCGAATGTTGAAGTTGAAGCTCAAATCGAATTTTCGGACCAAACTCATTGTTCTTTTGTCATTGTTGTTGTTTTCTGTTCTATAGTTGATGGAGAAATGTAATTGTTATAGAGAACCCCTCGTCCCCGGCAGTCCATTAGCAGTGAATGCCAGATACAACCTCAAACCCCGACGGCTCTGTCAACAGCTCAACATATCAATCATACGCAATGTGGTGCGTGTTTGGTGCGTGCTCTAATGCCTCTGGCTCTGCGGTGCACGGTGGCACATACACGGTGGCGACGCCTGGTCTTATAAATAATTTACACCGCATATTACTCCAAAATAACAACAACGAGGCAGCACCAACCAAAACACCTACCATATCCCCCACCACCACCACCACCCACCCACTGGCTTTGACACGTTCATATTGCCCCCCTCCTCCTAATTTTCTCACTCCTACATACATATATGAAAAAAAAAAAACTGTCATTAGTGAATTATTTAAGTTAGGTTGACGCCAGGAAAGCAAATATCGCAGACAGGAAGGAAGTCCCTGCCGAGAGAGTTTTGTTAAATTAACTTTCAGGCCAAGACCAAAGAATGTAAACAAAGAAACGAATCATTCTAAATTCAGGACTCTCTGTGTAATCAGGACAGGGAGTACAAGGGAGTACCAGGAGCTTAATGGCCATAAGGTGTGACTTTTTTTATAACCAACTATTATGTTTGAATAAGAATTTGTAGTAAAATTTTTAAAAATATTATTCAACTATTTAAAATCATAATTATTTCCTAGAACCAAAAATTCCAACAGGGCGTATGAGCAATTTTATGAAGAGTTTACGGAATTCTTGTAGGAATTTGGATTAAAAATCCTCTCTTATTTAAACTGACTTATAATAAATCTTATTATAAAATGCTTAAGTACTTTCGTCACTCACCTAAGATTTTCGATGCGCGGCCTTCGGCACTGTGGCCGATTGCGGCGATGGCTGCGATCCTTCTTGCAGCGGCAGTCGCAGTGCATGATGCAGAGGGCGATGGACGAGATGACCGTTATCACAAAGGGCACCGCGAAGAAGTGGATGATCATGGCCACCTGGTCGTCGTGGTTGTAGGAGGTGAGGACCACCGTTTTGTTTTTGCGCGAATAGAAGCACGGAAAGATGGCGCCCTCAATGCCGTAGTAGCCATTGAAGTCCTTGCAGGTGACGGTGGGCGGATAGCCGCATCCTTTTATATTCACCAACAAAGTGGCCTCGCCGGACTGTTCCCAATCCGCCGTATAATTGCTATAATCTGTCATATTCGCCGGTATTGTGATATTCTGTTCAATAAACGTTACATAGATGTGAACGCAACGATACAGATCGGAGGTGCAGCCCTCGCGACAGGAGCTCCAGGAGCAGTTGAATATACCGACCAGATCCTCGCGCCGCGTCGTCGTGCACAGCGTTGGATGTTCGATAAAGTCGTGGCTCAGGGTCGAGATGGCCGGATCGACGTAGAGCGGTACGAGGAAGAGCAGCGAAGCGCCGGCGGTCACCGAGAAGAAGGCCAGTGTCGAGGTGCCATAGAAACGCGCACGTTCCCGCCACGAACGAAAGCGCCGATTGCCATTTTTCTTTTTCGGAGCCAGTTCTCGGATTTTACGTAACCGTAGCTCTTGTTGTTGCTGCTCGAGTAGTAATTCCGAACTGCCACTCCTCATATTATTGTCGGTGCACACAGGGCGCTGCTGCTACTGCTACTGGCTGCGCAGCAGCAGCTGCAACGGCATCAACGCTTTTTGGATGCGTTGCGTCGTCCGCCTGCCCGCGGCTGATGCTCTGCTGCTCGGCTCTGCTCCTGGCGTTGCACTTGGCGTTGACAGCGGCAGCGACGCCTACCGCAACATCCAGAGCGGATTGAGGTTATGTACACACGCTTCGGCGCAGGAGCCGGAAGTGTCAGAACGATAGAGAGAGCGGCAGCGAGAGAGTGACAGAGTCCTAGTATGGCAGTAGGCAGTAGATATGACAGTTGGAACAGCTGTTCCTCAATGGGAATGACAGCTAGAGAGAGAGAGAGCTAGAGACAGACAGGCAGAGACAGAGAGCGACAGTCAGAGAAAGGCGCGCTGTGGCGTTTTCATTCGCCTTTCGTCTATTGTTTACGCCACTAGTTTATATTTTACATTTAGTACTTTAGTTTTTAATTTTAATCACTGAAAATCACAATAAGCAGCAGAAGAGATAAGGTTAGGAACTATCTATTGATTTTATAAAAGATTATTAATCAGAAAACTACCTAATCCTACAAAATCGCTTGTTTTGACTTGTTAGGATGCCCCAATACCCCAATTATAAATATTTCAAGTGACTCTGTTTCTAATTCTTGCGTTTCTTTAATTATTTGATTATTCACTAATATATCTAGCAAGCTGCAAAAAATCTCTCTTTATTTCAACAAAAAAAAGAATATAAAAGTTAGCTTAGAAACCTAATAAATTAAATAAAAGCTCAAAAATTAAATTAAATTTAAACAAAAGTTTCTTAATTTTTGCGGCTTGCGTGGGTGTCACATTTTTGCTCAAGTCACAGCTGTTGATGTAGGTTAGTTTAAGTCTCTCTCATGCCCTCCCCAAAGCTTCGCAACGAACTAAGGTCCTGAGAGCCGCCTGCTGCCGGTGCTGACTTTGCAGTCGACGGTGACGACGATGCCAGCGCCAACGCCGGCGTAGGCGTTCGCCTGTCTGCTGGTGTCGCCCTAGTGACTGTGTAACCTTTTTGCCTCTGTGTGTTGTGGGTGGAATTATTTATGCTACACATTTTGTGCGGCGGCTTTTCCTTTTTACTTATTATTTTTCAATTTATTTGCATTTTTGCACAGCAACCAGCAGAGTCAGAGCCAGAGCCAGAACCAAAGGAAAAACAATGCCTTGATTTATCGCTAGATTGTCCGATCTACTAAAATTTCTTTGACATCCGTTCACCTTGATAGTCTGTTGGGAAGGAACTCTTATCCCCTGGTATGCTAGGAGTTGTAATTTTTGTTGTGCTGTGTCTAGTGTTATTGTTGTTGCAACTTCGCGTGACTCTGGCCCTTGGCCAGGCTCTGGACATTAGCGGACCCCATAGTTTCTCGTTCTTTGTTTTTGCCTCGTTTTATTGCTGGTCTGTTTCATTTCATTTCATTTATTTTGCTGTTGTTTTTTGCCACAGCACGCATTTCACAATTTTCATCATAGACACCCACACGCCCCCACCCCCCCTCCTTACACGCACACACACACAAGCACACGGATATACTGACAGTTGGTAGGTGAGCTTAACTGTTATTGCTTTAGTGTAGCTGGTATGATTTCATTTTCATGCTTAGTTCGGACAACATGGCGTATGAGTAATGCACATGGCAGGTACATGAACAATTTCGGTATTTAAGGTATATCCAAGACACACTATTTTCGCATTCTTATGGGTTGTGTGACACTCTGAGCCGTAAATTTGAAACGTCTTTTCTGAAGACAACAGCAGCCGCCAGTGAAACGCCTGGGAAAACTCCTTGAGCGACTGACATTGCCACGAGACTCAAGAATCAAATACATGGAGAGAAATTGATACAAAATTGTAGAAAAAATAATTAAAATTCAAAAAGGGAATTTATAGTATTAAATGATAACTTTTGATGCAACTATAACTAAGAATTTTTGAAGTAAAAATATTATAAATATTTTAGATATACAATCCATGGCTCCCCTCCTTGCCACGCCTATTCAAACAACTTGAGGGGAAAATAGAAACAAAAATGGAAATAAAACATTAAGCTCAAGAGTCTAACAACTAACTTTTGACATCTGAAATGGCAGCTGCGCCCCCTCTATCCTCTACTACTATCGCCTAGATCCCAATCCCCCAAACCTGCAACTTGCAACCCGCTTGGCTCTGCCGGCAGCGCAGTTTGTTGATTTTGTTGCTAACGTTGCTCTGCCTCTGTTGCTTACTGCCTTTTGGCTTATATTCCTATTTGTATCCTTCTCAGGATAATGAAAAGGGTGGTTTGGGGCTGGCTTCACTTTCACTTGATTTTTACTTTAGAGCAGAGCAATTCTCCTGTGCCCTGGACTTTGGTATTTTTTTCCTTTTTTGCACGATTACGGCACGATATTTGCCATAGAATTGGAATTGGCTAAAACCGCCGCTGCCATTGGCGCTGGCTTTTCCGCACGCACACACACACGCACACGCTCAGCGTTCAACGTTCAACGTTCAACGCTCACACACACGGAGGCACAGACAGACAGACAGAATCGAGACGAGGAGCGCGCGCGCTGGGCCCTGACGTGCCTCTCGGAGTGTTTGTCCAAAACTAACGGCTGCGTTGCTCCGGAGTCCAGACCCGGAGTCCCGCATACTCGCCTTCGTGGGGGCGGCGCCACAGCGAGTCGCTGGCAGCGACGGTGGCAGCAGCTGCGACGCCAACTGCTCTGCCGACTGGGGCGCAACTTCGGTCAAGTAACGAAGCTTGGCATCCATCGTCAAGGATTCGCGTGTGCGCGCTCTGAGAGTAGATGAGAGAGAGAGAGAAAGCCAGAGATGCGAAAGGACTCGCAAGCTCAACATTTGTTGGCACAACCAATCTGCACTGCTTGCAAGTCCTACTCAAATAGAGTCGCTCCCATGAAAATTGAGTATACGCACTGTTAGCCGACATCACTAGTTTTGGCGCCAAAGGCTTAAAAAAAAAGGTTATTCAAATAATTACAAATAAATAGTCTTATTTCCATTTTTTTAAAATATTAATTAATAAAATAAATTACCAGTAGTTTATTTTTAATAGAATTATTTGTATTATAGTGTAGACTTGCCCTTATTTGTATGCTACATTTCATTTAGCAGCTTTTAGTCAATACAACAACCAGTGATTTCCGCGCTCCTCGCTTCACCACTCAACTTTACCTCTCAACTTTTACAATTAAATAATTAAAGCTAAAATTAATAAAGAAGGAAAATAATAAATTTTAAATTACAAAATTGTAAATATAAAATTGTATACTTTGTAAATTAGCGGTTACTTGATAAATTGTATAAAATTGTAAAATTTAATGTAGATATTATCTACTAGATGAATGTGTCATCACAACATACTTTTGTTAGTTTTTGTTTTGTCTCGTATATTATTTATTTTGAATTTCACAAAATTTACATTCCGACAATTTAAAATTTTAAAGTATAATACGCATAATTTTAACTGTTCCATAACCTATAGGCTTCACTGAACCAAAGTCCAGAACAAACATAGTTTCCTTCCCACACTGATGGATACTGATCCACGTTACACCTAAGAGAAGAAATTGATTAAGTTTTGCTATTGATATATTTGTACCACCTAACATTAAAAATAGCAATTATCAGTTACCATATCCTTGGAATACGCGTCCAATTTCATATCCTTGGAATCTCCGATTTTATACATTTATTTTTGTGATCTATAACTTTTCCCCAAACATTTGAATTGATTTAAATTGATTTTTAACTATTGAAATCAGTAGATTGAAATCATTACACCATCTTTTAGTTTTGGATTTAACAAAAAGCTCGAAGTCATTGAATTTATTATAGTTAGTTAAACAATATGTTCGTCTATTAAATGGAAGTTTTTAGTGGAGCCTAAAGGTTATGGAGCAGTTGAAATTATGCGTGGAGACTTTTTTCTGTCACCCTGTGATATGAGCGAGCGATCATTGTTGATCGATTACATTACTATCGAAAGCTACTCACCACTAACACCGTCATTTTGGTTGACAAATTTTATTTTATATATAAAAACAGCTAATTTAAATTGAAAAAAAAAGGATTCTGGACATTCTGGATTCTGAAAAAGGACAGGATTCTGTCATGGTAAGTAAGATTCATGTGTATATTTAAGTAATGTGAGGAGATGTAGACAGACGCCAAGACAGGTGACATGGGGCAAAGTCAAGAAAGGGGGGCTGATGGGGTCCGAAAGCGGTGAAATAGATTATATGTACAAATGTGTGAACTATTGCATGAAAATTTCATTCTATATGTACAATGTACGAATTCGATTATAAGATAAATAATGATTGACTGAGTTTACCACCAAGGCAATTGAGACCTCTAAATGTTTGTACCTTTGTACCTTTTTGTTTCAAAGCCTCTAAAATTTTAACTTATCAGTGCAATGAATAAATAGAAAATAGGTTATTATAGGTATAAATGGGTTCTTAAAATCAGAAAAAGGTTTTATAAACCAAATAGGGGCAGTTCCGAAGACTGGTCAAGCAGGAGCTGGGTTGAATGATGTATATTATTTATATATTTTTATAATATCTATAATATTTTCGCTTTTTAGAAAATGTTAACAATTGTTTACGAATGTTTACAACAATTACAATTAGGATATATGTATGTATTTATGTACGTTTTCGACCCTCAATTTTATTGTTATTGCTAGTTCAATTTTATAAAGAAACAATATAATTTTCTTGTTTATAAACTTGATAGAAAGATACATTAACTATCTTTAAACGAAAATGTGTCGCGTTAAAATATTCCGTTAAAATATTCAATCCTTTTTCCAGTGCATTTTTCCCCATTTTTTGCAACAGGCCCAATTGTTTGTCTCGTTTACTTCAGATGGCAACTCCATATATGTTTTATGCATGTAATAAGATCATTTTGGATAAAAAAAAAACAATGTTAGTTTTTGTATTTTGTTTAGAAAAGTGTAAACTTTACCTGTTGAGCCGCTTTGATGATATTACTTTAATGCCTCATCTCTAGACGGGAAGGGTTTTACATAGTCCAGCTTTAGGCTATGAAAGGGCGAAAATGTATGGGTATGATAATATGAGCCCAATCTACGGCCATATCTTTGCCAATTTGAATCTGATTCTTAGGCGGAATGCATTAAATGATTTGTAGATCGATTTTTAATAAAATTTTTCGGGGTACTCCTTCAAAATAGCTAAAATGTATGGATATCACTGGAAAGACCATATCCTTCCAATTTGAATCCGATTCTTAGGTATAGTGCCTTAAACGATATCAACGAAAAACAATATTATTCTTTGTATTTTGTTAAAAAAAAAGTTAACTTTACCTCTAGTCCAGCTTTAGGCTGGTATTCTGATTTAGATATACTTGGCATACAGGAGAACTGTTTGTATCTGTTTTTACGCAAATGAGACTCTCGGCTTCAAAGCTGTGGACTTCAAACTCCACACATCCTTTTTTATACCATTGCAGAGGGTGTTATAAATTTGGTTAATGGTGTTCAAGGCAGTAAAGGAGATATGTCCGACCCTTTAAAGTATATATATATATTGCCAAATATATTCTTATTCTTATTCGCAAAAAAATGAAAATGAAAAGCTTAGATAATAATACAAAAAATAATGGCTACGTAGGTTAGAACGGATGTCAGCTTTTTTTAAAGAAAACCCGACACACTTAGAACGTCTTCGGTTTCTTGGGATACCCTAAAAAGGTCGTGCTGTGCATATGTCGAACTACAATGGCTAAGGAACACAGAACTAAAGTTTCTTGTCTTATTTGGAATGTTAAAATATAAGCGTGTTAGTAAATGCTGGCAAAAGTTAAGATGTTCTTTTGTACAGATTTTATGCGGTCCTGATGTACTCCATATTGGGGAGCATCGGACCGTCCAGTATCCGACGGACCAAAGAAATTAATAAGGTTTTAATTATGTAGGGGTCATTAAATTCTTTTGACCACCTTTTAATAAAACCAAGGACATCTTTAGCCCTATTAACCATTATGGAAATATGGTCGGCAAGTTTAAGTTTAATGTCTAATAGGACACCGAGATCATTAACCTGGGTTAATTTTTCTAAGGTAATCCCCATATAACATAAAAAATTCTATGGGCCGGGGGCTTGATTCCTTCCTGCAAGAATGATGGTAATGAAAGAAGTTTTTTAATGTGTTCCTCAGGAGTAGAGTAGTCTGTGCTGCTAGGAATTTGGGTGTCGTTTAGTAAAATATCTGAAAAATATTATTTCCATTTTTCCTTGACCCCTTGAAAATGGGGTTTTCCCCTTAGAGCCCACTGTGATGGCTATATCTTCCCTAATTCTCATCCGATTCTCAAGCGGGGTACCTCAAACAATTTCTAGTTCGAATCCCCACCATTCTGCATCCAAATCCTGAGACCAAATATTTTTCAGATTTTTTGTCCATTTTCCCTGATGGGATCCCTTGAAAATGGGGTTTTCCCCTATAGGGCCCACTGTGATGGCTGTATCTTCTCCAATTCTCATCCGATTCTCAAGCGGAGTACCTTAAACGATTTCTGGATTAATTCTCCACCATTCTCCATCAAAATCATGAGACAAAATATGTTTCAGATTTTTTGTTCATTTTTCCTGATGGGATTCCTTGAAAATGGGGTTTTCCCCTATAGGGCCCACTGTGATGGCTGTATCTTCTCCAATTCTCATCCGATTCTCAAGCGGAGTACCTTAAACGATTTCTGGATTAATTCTCCACCATTCTCCATCAAAATCATGAGACAAAATATGTTTCAGATTTTTTGTCTATTTTTCCTGATGGGATCCCTTGAATATGGGGTTTTCCCTTTAGGGCCCACTGTGATGGCTGTATCTTCTCCAATTCTCATCCGATTCTCAAGCGGAGTACCTTAAACGATTTCTGGATCAATTCTCCATCATTCTTCATCAAAATCCTGAGACAAAATATTTTGTCAGATTTGTTGTCCATTTTCCTGATGGGATTCCTTGAAAATGGGGTTTTCCCCTTAGGGCCCACTGTGATGGCTATATCTTCCCCAATTCTCATCCAATTCTCAAGCGGAGTACCTCAAACAATTTCTAGTTCAATTCCCCACCATTCTGCATCAAAATCATGAGACAAAATATGTTTCAGATTTTTTGTCCATTTTTTCTGATGGGATCCCTTGAATATGGGGTTTTCCCCTTAGGGCCCACTGTGATGGCTGTATCTTCTCCAATTCTCATCCGATTCTCAAGCGGAGTACCTTAAACGATTTCTGGATCAATTCTCCATCATTCTTTATCAAAATCCTGAGACAAAATATTTTGTCAGATTTGTTGTCCATTTTCCTGATGGGATTCCTTGAAAATGGGGTTTTCCCCCTAGGGCCCACTGTGATGGCTATATCTTCTCTAATTCTCATCCGATTCTCAAGCGGAGTACCACAAACAATTTCTAGTTCGATTCCCCACCATTCTGCATCAAAATCCTGAGACAAAATATTTTTCAGATTTTTGGTCCATTTTTCCTGATGGGATCCCTTGAAAATGGAGTTTTCCACTTAGGGCCCACTGTGATGGCTATATCTTCCCTAATTCTCATCCGATTCTCAAGCGGAGTACCTCAAACAATTTCTAGTTCGATTCCCCACCATTCTGCATCCAAATCCTGAGACAAAATATTCCCTTGGATCCCTTGAAAATGGGGTTTTCCCCTATAGGGCCCACTGGGATGGCTGAGGACGCCGTACATTATTATGGGTCTGTCTATAGCAGTGAAGAGCCAGCTTTTGATGTGCCTAGTGTAGATTAGCAATTAATCAATAAATCTCACCAAGTAGCCATCTTCCCCAAGGGAGTCAGAGCGTTAGTTATGGTGCTTATGAGAACTTTGTTGAAATCCCCTTCTATGTTCAGGAAGGCCACAAGGGCATATATTTAAAAAAATGGCTAAAACTCAAAACTTCGATAATAAATACTTTGTGATTTTTTAAATAAAAATCATGACAATAATCATTATTTACGGTCCCAGGATTTGACTCGCTTCCTTTTTCGTCGAGGATGATTGTATCTTACCCAATCATACTCGTTTCAGTTTTCTGGTGTCCAGTATAGATTCTAGATGAGTGTTTGCTTGAGTCTTTTTGCCCTTATCTCTTCCTATTCTATGGCAGCAGCAGTACAAAGGCCGATACTAATGCAAAGTGCTTTGCACTTTTTACAGCTTAATAAGAAGTAAAAAGTGATCCGTTTTGAAATATATCCAATGAACAGAAAATCATTTTTATGCAAGAGACTCACCTTTTTATATAAAATTTATCACTGTTTTTTGTCAAGTGGGGTCCAGTCGTTTTCCCGTCACATCCCGTATTTGGATTAAAACAATATGCCCAAAGCTCATGTTCTTAAAAATTTAATGATTAAAAAAATGATGATTTTTTACGAAAATATAAATAAAATACATACTTACTGGTTTCGTGGTTTTGTTTTGTTTCGATTTCTTCTTATATTTTCTTTTCTTTCAAAAGATTCTTAAATTCTATGTGGCTTTGTCGCTGGCAAAAACAAAACTGAGTGTTTTGTTAAAATCTTATCAGAATTTTTTGTAGAACTCAACCTTCCTTTCTTCAGTCCACATTCGCATTACAAAGTGTTAATACACCCTCAGACACTTCTTATCAATCAAAAGTGACGGACACTGCAGCGATTAGTAATTTTGCAGAGGGGTATACACTTTAGTGAACACAAGTGTACACATTAGTACACTTTTGCAGAGGGTATTATAATTTTGGTCAAAATTGTGCAACGCAGTGAAGTAGACATCTCCGGTCCTATGAAGTATATATATTTTTAAATCACAATCACCTCCTGAGTTTATATGAGCATGTCCGTCCGTCCGTCTGTCAGTTTCACAAAAATCATGACATAATTATTATTTCCGGTCCCTGGATTTGACTTGCTTCCTTTTTCGTTGAGGGTGATTCATCTTACCCAATCATGCTCGATGTAGTTGTCTGGTGCCCAGTATAGATTGGAGTTAAGTGTTTGCTCGAGTCTTCTTGCTAATGCATATACTTAATGCAGAACTTTCAAAATATTCTTAAATTCTATGTGGTTTTGTCGCTGGCAAAAATAAAACTGAGTGTTTCATTAAAATCTTATCAGTAGGATGAGAGCTTTTTTTGTGGAACTCAACCGTACTTTCTTTAGTCCACATTCGCATTGCAAAGTGATAACACAATTGGATGCACCCTAAGTCGGTTTTGCTTTCGACTAACGACACTTCTTATCAATTAAAAGTCACGGACACTGCAGCGGAATGATTCACTGTAAATTATTGATGGTATATATATTAAATAAAATAAAAATCCTAAAAACTGTATATGTTCGTATACGAGTACATCGTAATATAAGTACTATTCGGGATACTTACATATATAAATTACTAGCAGTACCCTGCCACGTTTCGCTGTGGCATATTGTTGTTGCACGCATAAAAAATAAGTCAAACAAAAAAGAATAATTTTCAAATTAATTAAATTCTGTAATACTTGTGGGTATACAATATTCTTTGTTTCTCCTCCTTAATCATTCATTATTATTTCTGTATTTTAGTATATAGGTTGCTCTTCACTCAAGCACCTTGTGATACACGACCTTTTTTTTTATTATCAGGCGCAAAAACAAACAACGCAGATGGTTTTCCGACCCGTGAACATGCCACGTATAATTGACCATGGGAAAAACATGAATGTTCTAGATTTAAACCACAAACTTTTAAGGATTGGGCTTGTAATTTGTTGATTGTCATGGCAAATGCAAGACGTATCGGAAATTGAAGTCTTTTAAATTCAAACGGCATATCGGTTGGGATCATCGGGATCCTCGGAATTAGAACTTCCTCACCTTTGAATTTTCCTATCATTATCGTAGCGTAAATTACATTGTTCATCAATTTACTAACCACCAAACGCGTACCGTTGCACAGTTTTGGTTGGTTTATGTTTCGAAGCATGATTACTACGGAGCCAACCTTTAGGCGTAAATTGTGCGGTGGTAAGCCAGGCACGTCCAAAGAGTTTAAAAATTCAATTGGATAGTTGGTGGCTTCATCTTCATTTGTGACGCAGTCAATAGATTTGAATGAATGCATTGTTCCAATGACCTTATTTTGAATTATGTAGTTCAGGTCATCTACATCTTTATTCTTAGCCGCTAAAATTGCTCGCTCACTCAACCATTCATTATTTTTGTAGTTAGAAATAATATTTGGAAATACATTGTTGATAAGTTCGTCTTTTGATGAGACAAAATTACAAAAATTATTTGGAAATGATATTAATCCGCTCGATTCATCGACAGGTACTTGACCATTACCGATAGTCAGAAATTGCTCCGAGAAATCTTCAGCAGATGTATCATTAAGCAATGTAACTCTCATGTTTGTTATCAGCTGCAGTTTCTTCACATAGCGCCATAGATTTGACGATTTGAGGCAAGCGTTTATTTCGTCGGCAGCCGCAGATCTTGGAATTACTGGCAACTTCACTTTATCATTAACGCAGCATAATCCAGGCGTTTCTCCGGAAAACTTTAATGCACCACAATACTCGCAAACAACGTCCATTTGCCCAATGCAAACGCTAGGATGCAAGCTGTAATCATTGCTGCAATCGTATCGAAACGCAGCTCGATTCAAATCAGCTAAAATTTTTCGTCGCAAATTAAAATCTATTTGAGAAGCACGAAGTCGAGCCTTACTATTGCGGCTCTGTTCACGTGCAATTTCTCGTTCTTCTTCAGTCCTTTCATATGCAGTATTTTGTATTCTTCTTGCATTACGGCTTTGTCGGGAAAGATTCGATCGTCTTGGTCGCGGCATTATTAATTAAACTTCACTTCACTTCAATCCACTTGTTAATTATTTATTTAATAGAAATAGTTTTAATATTGATTTCTTACAAATATCAATAGAGAGTGCAGAGGCTCTAGTGGTGCTTCAAGTTGAGGCAATTTCACTTTCCCGGAAGCGCAACACAATCTTTTTGGTTCGTTGTTAAATTTGAGAGCCTGACTATGAATTTGACTTCGTTTGTAACTGACATTTTGACATTTGACATTTTCTTCTTAGCTGTCTGCCTAAATAAAAAAGTATGGGCCAGGGAGGAACGCTGTCGAACGGGACAAAAAGTATCCTATGTCCTTCTCCTGGCTCTAAGCTACCTCCCTACCAATTTTCACTCAAATCTGTTCTTCCGTTCTTGATTTATAAGTGTTGTAACATAAAACACGTTGTTCTTTTATATATATAGATTAATTTATATTATATATAGAAAATTAAATTTTTTATTAATTGTTTTATATTTGTGTACGTTTTTTTTAAGACTCACAAATGAAAGTCTGGAGAATGGCGAAAAATATTTCTCATCACTTTGATTTTCTGGAACGAATTGGCTTGCTACAGGCCTGATAAACAGGAAATTACTTAAATATGATAATGGTAAAGTTTCCTGATACTGCAATTTCATAAGGGGACTTTTTCTATTTATATGAGGCTCTTTAAAACATAACGCTATCTTTTACACCTATTTAATAGATTAAATAACTTATAAGAAATCAATAAATAATTTTTTTTTAGGTATTTCGAACAAAGACCGGCTTTAAAGACGCAATGGTAATGCTTTCCCTGAGGCTCAAATTTTCATTCCCATATCAGCTCAGTGGAAAACGGTTATATAAATCGATTAAAGTAGATTTTCGGCTCAAGAATCCGACAGAAAGAGCCAATTTCCTAAGCTGGGGCTTAAATTGTCACTCCCATACATTTCTTTATCAAAAGAAAAATTTTTAAAAAAATTTACAAGAAAATTTGTTCTTCGATTTTGATTCCGATCGATGGAAAATTAAACTAAAAGTCATATAAGTTAATTCGCTCAAGAATCGAATGATTTTTAGCAAATATATGGCCATTCCTTCAAAATGGCGAAAATGTATGGATATCACAATATGAGTAACTGGAAAGACCGTATCTCTGCCAATTTGAATCAGATTCTTAGCCGGAGTGCCTTAAACGATTTGTAGATCGATTCTTCATCGATGTGTTTTAAAGGAGTCCCTTTTAAAAATCGATCTTAAATTTATATTTATTTTTTCAATACAGATACATATACGTATATATGCAGTAACATCTTTTTTTTTAGATGTCTCTACTCATCTTAGTCGTGTTGCTGGCCTACATTCCCGTCGCTCCCCAGGCAGAGTTACAATGCGGCTGTCGGACTCACAGAAGCACAGCTTTATGGAATATGAAAAGACATGCGGATTGTTCGCAATGTTCAGCGAATTTTACATGCCTGGCTCAGCTGGGTCTAAGCTCGTTGGATCTGTCACACACAGGATTGCAAAAAGTACCTGATCTCAACGATCCTGGATTTCGGATGATCGAGGAGCTCAACCTATCTGGAAATGAGATAACCCAGTTGGCTAACTGGAAATTCGGATCGATGGAGAAATTGGATTTCGTGAATATGAGTTGCAACAATTTGACGAGTCTGCCAAACAAAGAGCCTCTTTGCATCAAAATCGACTTGAGCTACAACCTATTGGAAAAGATGACTGATCTCGTGCCCTTAGTGAAGACGAAGGCAATTTTGAATGGCAACTCCTGGCGGTGCATGTGCAACAATAGTCTTGTGAAACACATGTACAAAGTGGTTCGTTAAAAATTATTATCAATGTAACACATACTCTCAATGCACTATTTTAGTTTCCCAGTTTCCTGGACAACAACATTGTGTGCAAGAAGGACGACTTCGATAAACTACAACCATTTGCGATGCAGTGTCATGAGATAATTAATGATAATCATGAGAATTCGGGTCGTAAAAGTTTCTATATTGGATGTATCATACTTTTTGTTTCGGTTGCTCTATTTTTTGTTTGCTTCCTAAAAAAATTTGTGCTTTTTAGATGAGTATTCTTTCGATGTATAAGTATTATTGCGAAAAACAACAGTATACTCATTTTCTTTAAATTACTTTATATTTCTTAAAATTAATTTCGAAAATACTGCATTTTTTATGTATTAAAAATTGTTTGATAAAAAAACATTTGAATATTTTAATAAAATGTCTCATACCTTTAGTATTATAGACATAAGTCTACGTATATTACAAGAATATTATATTACAGACGTATATTCTTAGACTGTATATTACGTCTAAGGTGCTGCATATTTTTAGGCATTATTTCAGACCGTGTTCAGAGTGAACCACCCTGTTTGATGGCAAACTTTGTCGAGTCGGAGCATAAAAGCTGCACGGCTGAGCTTTCAGTTTTATGTACAACGCACATAACATGCCCCAGATTCCATTTGATGATTTCTGAGGAGCTGCACTTGAAACTGGGTCAAGTCAGCCACGTCCTAGCCTTTTTTCTCTGTGTTTTGCCCTTGGCAGAGTGTCCTTGATGTTGAACAAACTGTTGGCAAGATGAAAGAACAACCCATATTGTTAGCCAAAACAATAGAAATATAATAAATAAATAGTTTGTTGTTAGAAATTATTACTTTGGGGTGGAATTTGCACTTATATATATATAAATAATATTAAATGGAAAGTATTAAAGCTATTTTGCGGACCTAATGTTTAATCCGAAAGGGGATAATAAATTAAAATATTGCTTTTTTATTTTAAAGATAAATTTTAAAATAAAATTAAAAAATAATTTTCAATTAGAATTGGACTAGGATGTAATTTAAATCGGAACGACCTTCTTATTAATTTTATTTAAAACATAATTTGGAATTAAATTTTTATGTTTATTTTTTGAAAACTGATTAGTTTATTATCGTAGTCTCCCATTTGTTTTAACAATTCTATTATTTTTACTCTTTACAACATATGCCGGATATATAAACCATTTGGTGTCAAGGATATTTCTGCAACTGCTTGTTTGACTTGGCCATATCCCTGACACACATCGAAGGCATTTCCTAAAAAATTGGGAAGTAGGTCAGTAAGTGACGTGGCCAGTTGACCCATTTGTGCACAGAAAATTGCAAACTTCGCCAGGCTCGTGGCTTACCGCGTCCACTCTGACCTGGTTTTATTTCGAATTAAGGTTTCGGTATAATTTTTGAGACGAGGGTTAGTTTTTTCCAACGGGGGTTGTGTGTTTATATGATTGAACTTTTCTGGCAAGTAACAAAGTCAACAGTTTGGCTCTGACAGCTGGTTGCAGCCTCTGCCTCAGCATCTACCGTTGCTGGTTGCAACTCTCACCTCCCAGGCCCCCGCCAATCGCTTCATCACGGCCCAGCCCAATTTTATTCGAAGCATTTATTTGTCTATTGCTCTGGGTATCGGTGTTTGTCTAATGCCCATATTTGTGTCTTGTCCAAACAAAAGTCTTGCATCCGAGCAGCAAAACAATGAAAACTGTTGTCTGTTTTCCGCCAGAATTTATGACCCAATGTCAACAGCACGCACAGCCTTAGCCCTACACTGGAATTAATTTCTACCAACCATATGGTTTTCTATAAAATTCAGAGTTTTCAATAAAATATTATAAATACTTGATTTTTTCAGGTGTATACCCCAACTCCTTCATTCCTGGCATCGGCAATTGAATCGTCCATTGGTGAAATCAGCCTGGCCAAGGAAAGTTGCTGTCAGGTGGCCGCTTCTTGACCCCAAGTCATCGAGTTGGGTTGGCCAGCCACTCCAGCTCCCAGCTCCCCAACTCCAATCCTCCAAGCTAAAAAAACTCCCAAGCTCCAAACTCCAGGTTCCAAGATCCCAACTCTACAAGAGATGAGGTGGAACCGGTTGTCAAAACTCTGAACGTCCGACCCGATGCTTTTTTGTCATTCACATGTCCAGACTGCACATGACATAAATTTGTATCTGCAGCTGATTGTGATTCGTGTAATGGCATGTATCTTGTATCTGCGCTCATCTTTGTCTACAATTTATGCTTCCTGCTGGCAGCTAGCCCCAGCTCTACTTAGGAGTATACTATATGTATATCCCACTTTCATGTCCGTGCTGACATGTTCACATCAATCACACGACCCTGTTGGCCGCTGGTAACTTGATTTCCCATTTCATACACTATACCCTCGTATCTTTATGTTTGTCTATCTGCCAGATACACTCTGGCATACAGGTAAACATTCTAATGATCCAAGCACGCAACTCCAAATGTCAAGGTTTTGGATCTAGACTCGGAGTAGGAGTCCAAGTCGAAGTTAGCTGGAGTAGAGTCAAGGGCGATTTTCCGCCATCCACCATCCGATTTGCGTTTTGGGGTTCTCGATGTGTGTTTTTCTCTGTTTGGCCAGCCAGCTGACATTTTTTTGATGGACATCTCGACGCGGCGTCGGTGGCATGTCCACATCAACATCCATGTCCATGGACATTGGACAACTATATGGCCAGGCTCCGTGTCCGTGTTGATGTTACAAGTCATGACAGCAAATTTGCCAGAGTTGACATGTGCCCCCAGTTGGCTAGTTGGGGGTGAAACGAAGCGATTCTAATTAGTGAGAAGTCGCAAAGTAGGGTTGTTGGATCGACAAGATTATGGATCTGAAAAAAAGAGGGTGATTCTATTGAAATATTTGTTGATACATATGTTTTTATTTGTTGGTTCTAATTGTCTTAAATCTATTCCCTCCCTTTCAATTCAAAGATTTATATTTAATTTTGATTTATTAATTTTTTATAATGGTTTTTTGACTTTCTATTAACATGTATGCAAAATGTTTTAATTCTAAGTTCTCCCTTCCAATCGTAATATTTCTTCAAAATTATATGTATTTAAAAAAGAAACACTTTATAAGAAAAAACCTTAGAGGCTGTTAAAATATATATGAAGCACCATTTTAGGATTCTAAGCTATAGTCATGTTTGTATAATGATTTTAGACTCAATATTGTCATATCTGGAGAATGATTCATAAAAAAAATATTGTATAATATTTATCCCCAGATATTTAATTTAATTTTTAGTTTCACAAGACTACATTTTTTTCGCCTACATAGGCTGGCATATTTCACAAGCTGTTTTTTGCACCCCATTTAAATCGGATATGGTCATTTAATAGCCCTCGGAATCAGTATCTTGTTAATTTGCATTCAGCTTGCACTTTCTCCATGCATCTTCATCGCCGTTGGACATCCCATCCAGTGGATATACTGGTATGGCCCTCATCTTTTCGGCCGATCGGGGTAATTTCAAGTTGATTTCATACCCAACAAAGGCCGATCATTGTGGGACCTATGTAAATACCTTTGGCTATACCTAGGCATCAGCGTAATTGAATGGAACGGTATGGAATGACATACATATTTTCAAAATCCGGTTTCGAAGGCAATCCAATCAAATCCACACACATACACAAATACTTACACATTCGTAATTCCGCATATCTACGGGTATAAGCTGTTGATAAAGGAGGGAATAAAAAAAATAAAGATACGATATAAAAGCGCGGCGGCGCCCTACCAAATGCAGCTGAAAACTCACAAAAAAAGAGAGGGTAAAATAAAATAATACACTGTCTCATTACAACTTTACAAAGAAATCCAAAAATCCGGTTTAATTTTCATAAAATTCCAATAAAATCACCAATCTGTAAAAGGGGGCGTGGAATAAGGGGCGGGAGGGCAGACACACAGGACAGAGCCAGAATAAGAGAAGGAAGAACTCAAGTGCAACAGCTGCTGAGAACTTTTGCAGGCCATTCCAATTGGCCCGAGTCCAATCAGAATCGAGGCCGCTGTTAGTTAACAGAGCCGAAACAGTGCTGCCGTATCGCGACAGAGAGCGGAAAGAGAGAATTTTCCAAACAGTGTATTGCCTTGGTTGACCTATTTTCCAGCTTGGGTAATGTGTCAATGCGCCTGTATGCGTGTGCCAGTGAGTGAGTGTGTGCATGTTTTTGTGTATCTGAGTATTTGAGTATCTGAGTATCTCCATCTCATTCCATCTAACGCCTATGCTTTGTTTTGGTTTTGGTTTTGCCTTTTGCGTTTTTTTTTCCTTCTTCGTTAGCTAGCTGGCTGGTTTTGTAACTCACGGATTGCATTCAACTTCACTTGATGCTGTTGTTGCTATTGTTATTGTTATTGTTTTTGCTATTGGTGTTGTTTTCTTTTCGTAACTGCGTATTTGTTGTAGCTCTAGTAACGCTCTGTTGATTCGTCTTGTTTTTGTTATTACTGACTGACTGCCTGGCTCTGCTGCCTTGGAATTTTCACTAGAGAAATGATTAATTGAATTTGTCAGATACTTCATCTTTGCACTTGGCCGACACTTTCCTCCCGCTGCTGCTTCATCTTCTTTGCATTTCACATACATATTTTCGTATGTTTTCCCTTCCCCCATGGGCCTAATCAGTTTTTGGGGAAAGATAAGCTCCTCCGTTCAACATTTCCGCTTTATCTAGCAAGGTCTTGTCCTCGATTTTGGCTTTTTAGTTGATTTCACACTTAAGCCTTAGGTTTTTTTTGTTTGGAAAGGGAAACTTGTACTCGTACTCGTACATACAGCGCAGTAACAGCGCATAATTCTATGACGTTTCAAAAAATGCTGGCGGCATGAAAATCCCGGAAAATCCACCCCGAAACCATAGAAATAAAACGCAAAAACTCCAAAAACTGCAGAGAGAAAAAATTGTATGCTTCTCAACAAGTGGATTATTTATTTAAAATTGACAAATAATAAATAATATTGCTTAAATTATACAAAAGATACTATAAAAAGATACAAATAAGATGTTGTCTTTCCTAGCAATATAAAGTATGCTACACTTTTTTTAGAACTTCAGTAAGCAATAATTAACCGAAATAAAAGATTCTAATTTAATTCCATAATAATTAGCGAGTTTTTCTCACTGCCTCGGGAATAAAAACTACGCAAATCTTTTGCCCTGAAGCATTTGGATGGAATTGATGTTTATTGAAGTTGAAGATTGTAACGCCCATCGGATGAAAATCCCCCGTCCCACACCCCCGTTCGCCACCCCCTTCTCTAGTTGCTGTCGAAGAATGCCTACAGAGGTCATTCCAAAGGCAACAACAACGCCACCAGCAGCAGCATACATACAACGCACATAACATACAGGGCCTCTGAAATTGAAAAAAAAAAAAGAAAACGAAAAAGCAACAAACGTCGAATATCCATCCACAACATAGCAGCATGGAATCGAAGAGACGATGTAAACAAAATCGAGAATTTCAGAGCACATAACAGCTGTGAGCCAGCCAGGCCAGCCAGCCAGTTAGCCAGGCTCTCCCGCACAAACACACATATTATGTATACGTAACGTTGTTTTGCTTTTCCGAGCAGGTAGATGCTATAGAAACGGGCCTCTTGGCCTGTGGCGGCCTGTACATAACATAGCAGAGAGAAAGAGCGAGCGCCATACAAGAGACCGAGAGAGAGAGAGAGCCGAACTTGGGGTAGTGGGGGGTAACTGTAACTCGTCGGTTGCCGTTCGCTCTCACTGTATCTGTCGGATTTCGGTTTTTGAGGCTTGCACCGTTCGCTTAGCTCGCCGGCGTCGCAGTCGCAGTCGTCGATAGCAAACTCTCCGGAGCAGACCCACAGTCGCTTAACGGGCGAAACCGAATTCGAAAAAACAGTCAAAATAGCCAGTGAAAAGCCAGCGAAATAGCCAACAAATAGCGCTTGTCGCTCCCCCACCAACCAAACTAACCAAACTAATAGACGTGTTGTTTTGGCCATTGCCATTTCGGCCAACAGCGCCTCAAAGGCAGAAGAAAAATAAGATTCAGAAATCAGTGCAGCAGCCGCGAAGTGCATCCCATATTGTGGGCATTTGTATGAGTTTGTGTGTGAGAGAGAAAAGTGAAACGACCGGCAGCGAAAGCAGCGCGAAAGCAAAGCAAAATAAGCTCCAATCACTCACAATAACAAACAGCAAGCCAAAAAGGATAGCACAAAATCAGCCAAGTGGCTGTGCCTCACCCCCCTAATCGGAAAATAAAAACTCCATATTGTAATTTATGTGACAAGAGTAATAGTGGAAAACTTTAGATCGCCCCTACTCTGAAGTTCCCCGCCCCCCACCCAGAACTGTACAAGCTGAGGTTACAAGCGGCCAAAATTGGATTATGCTTAAGAAAAAACGCAACACCAACGCCATTCAGCAGCCCAGCGACGTCGAGCATGTGAAGCTCAAGCAGAGGCCCCTCTTCCATCCGCCCCAGAAGCAGGAATTTCCGACTTTCGGGTCACCGCCTCCACCGCTCCTGCAGCGCCTGCAGTTCAATCAGCACCTGAACGCTCGCATCACCTTCTCCTTGGAGCTCTACCACAAGAACGTGATCAAGAAACTGCCCGGCATTGGGAAATCCCATGTCATTCGGCTGACCAAGAACGTCTGCCAGACTTAAGTCCACTCAACCCATCCAATCCAATCCAATAATTAAATTCTAACAAAAACAATATTAAAAAGACAGAAAAAAGAGTGTATTTTAAAAAGTGAAACGAAAGTGTCAGAGCAAAGTGCAAGCAAAATACTCAAAAGTGCAATAAAAAGCAAAAAAATAAAAATTAAAAAGCTTAAAAGCAAAAGTGTCAAGTGCGAGAAAATGTGGCGAGCCATGAAAGCCAAGTTCAGGCTCTAAGTTCCAAAGCCAGAAGCGAGAAGAAAGTAAGAAACAGATTAGAGAAGAAAGAAAACTCAGAAAACCATACAAATCAAATCAAAATCCCGTTTAATCCGTTAATCCGTTAACACCGAAACGTACAAAAATGTCCACCGGTCGCCGTTTAGCCAAACGCTCCATCATCGGCACCAAGGTGTGCGCCCCGGGTCCGGACGGTCTCTGGTACTCGGGCGTCATCTCGGACGTCAAAACGCCGCCCACCGCCGCCGGCAAGCCGCTAGCACCACTCTCGCCGCCACCGCCGCCCACTTTCCTGGCGCCCGGCGACACGCACCTTAACGCCGATACGCGCTATATCGTCCGGTTCGATTTCAAGACCGCCGCCGCCGTGTCCTCGTCCACGTCCTCGTCGTCGTCGTCCACGGGCTCCCCGGATCCCTCGGTCACCGTCGCGGAGTCGCGTCGCGCCAACGTTCACATCAGTCCGGCCCAGGCTCTGCGCCGCAATGCCATGATCAAGGAGTTTGGCGAATCGGATCTAATTGGTCCAGGATTCCGCTCCATAATGGGCATCCAGCTGCAGCCCGGACAACGTGTCTTCCTCACATACCTCGGCCGGGAGCAGAGCGGCGATGTGGTCCAGCACGATGCCAGCAAGGACGAGGTGGTTGTCAAGATCACAACAACAGGAAATGAGGTAGGTGTGGAGTTTTCATATAGAAGACTTAGTTCTAAGTGTTAGATATATGTGGGTGGGTGTGGGTGCAGCCAACATAAGCAGAAGCAGCTCTGTCGACGTCTGCTTCGTCGTCGTCGTCGTCGTCATCATCATGAACATCATCAGTGTCGGGCGGCAGCAATGTGTGTCAAGGTTGACTCGGCCCCAGCCACCCCTTGCCCCGATTGGGGCGCAGCATAGCTATGTACATATGTATCTATGCACTTTATGTACCATTTTATTCAGAGCATATATTTACTCGCACCCCACAGAGTACAGTTTCGTATCGTCTGGTGGGGTATGTATGTGCAATCACGTTCTATGTGCAACTATGCAACAGCGAACAAAAAAGCACAAAAAAGCATACTTGTCCGAGGGTCGCATTCCGCTTTTTGGCACGTAATTGGGTTACGCTTTGGGCTCTGGCCTTCTTGAATTTGAACTTTTCTTTTTTTTATTATTGTCGATGGTTGGATATAAGAACCATCCTTCTTCTTGATTGTGGGGATATCTGGAACATTTTTATGGATATATATTATATAGTGTTCGGGTTGACTTCCCATTCGCGGTGACCCACACAAAAGATCAACATAATCTTCCAGCCACAGCCAAAGCCACAGCCCGAATCTTCCTATTGCGTCACTTCCAAATCGTTGAACTGTTCGGCAAAAAAAATTAATAAATAAACGCAGCGAAAAAAATAATTCGAGAGTGAAACATCATTTTGGGGGAATTTATAGAATCGAAACCTCCTCCCAAAAAAAAAAATATCTCAATGACGCCGACGCTACTGATGCTGCTGCAATGATGATGATGTCGTAATGAAAATTTGTTTAGAATTTCGGTCTTCGTGAAAGAATTCAACAGAGAGAGTGCCCGCCCGATAGTGGGTGCTTATTCTACAATAGAAGCTTGGAAGCTTGGGAAAAAATGCGAAATAATAAAAAGACATAAAGCTAGAAAACAATTGCAATAAATGGCAATACGATTTCAGGGCTAAATAGAGATACATGGCAATTGGAATGGCTGGATACTGCTACGCTTTACAGCTAATTATATAGATTAATTCTCCGGACCCGGTGCGCTGGCACTCCCTCTCGCCATCAGACCAGAGATACTGACAAGAAAAGATACTTGAATAAAAATGGGAGCGGGAACGGGGACGGGGATAGCTGTCCACAGATCGGATGAAATTTTCGAATTGCGTCATAAGTCAGGCAAACAGCAGAGATGTGGATACATGGATAGAGCCGGCTGAATATAGATGGCAAAGATAGTTAGATACATGAGCGAAACACATGCATCTGTGAGATACATGCTCACAAGCGGTTTGCCGGCTGACTGCACTGTCGGGAGAAAAAAAAAAGAATACTTAGGAGCAGGGGTTACGGGGTATGGGACAAGAGCCGGCATCAAGCTGGGTTCTCCCGCTTCCTCCATCGCACTCGCTCACTCGCTATACTCTGTCTCCCTCTCTGCCTTTCTCCCATTGCATTCGTCGCCTGCTGCTTTCCCTTGCAGTTTTCTGGGGTTTGTGGTGGGCCTGGTGTTTTTTTTTTGTTTTTTGTTTTTTGTTTTTTCCTCTCAACTAATAATCGCTTAAAACATTTGTAATTGTTGCATACAAATTCCGAGAGATACTCGTCACATGCGCATGCAAGATACAGATACAGATACAGATACGAGGTCTTCAATGCCAAGTCAGCTGCGCGTATCTTTTCCGTGTGGCGGCGAGTCGATAAATTTGTCAGTTAGCTCTAGCTGCCAGCCAGATGTGTGGGCTTGTCCCCAGCTCGATGTCAGCCTCAGCCCCGGCATTGTATCCAACAGATATCTGTTGGCTAGATAGGCCAGAGATACTGTGACTTGATCAACTTGCCCAAAATGGGAAAAGCTGAAAATGTACGACTCTATATTGTTGCTACATTGTGGCCAGTTATGTTGGCTTGTTTATATTTTACGATCATGACAGACCTGAAAAGCCTCAAGTTTTTTTTTTTGAATCGAAATCCAAATCTTTCGGCATAATCAGCTATGGAAATGTAACGACTTACAAGCTCCACTCTGTCGAGTATATACTCCTCTATGACCTCATCATTAGCCACAATGTCGAAAATAGCTAGAAAAGTGAAGAGCTCAAGTTCGTCGTCGTCGTTGCTGTTGTAAGTCAATCAACAATTGCTGGTTTCGTAATCGAAAAAATGAAACTGGATAAAAAATAAATGAAAAAAAAGCAAGAGCTGGGGAAATTCGTTACATCTATCAATAGTTGTCCTCGCTGGCATGTGATGGTCACGTGAGTGTGTGTGTGGTGTGTGTTTGGTGTGTGTGTGTGGTGGAGCCAAACAACACTCGTCACAAAACCGAAAATTTGTTTTCGGTTCAACTTGAGCAATTGCTTTTGTTTGCCGCACGCAGCTACATACAAACATCCATAGTTGGGGAGCGTTTTTTGTTTTTTTGTCGGAAACGTGAGGCAATTAATTCTAAGGTTATTTCAAACGAGAAACTTGTTGCACGCACATAGCACTGCCACTAAGCCCTACCCCATCTCCATCTCCCTCTCCATTTTCATTTACATTTTCTCGACCAAGTCTCAGGTCCATGTCTATGTCCATTTTGCATAGCCATTTCCATTCGTATTTCAATTACGATGACGTATAATTGCCAGGCCATGAATCAAGTGTCCGGCAAAACGCCAGGAGGAGCCGAGCGCATATAATTTGCAAGCTCATTTAATGGAGGGCGCGAGAAGGCCCAAAGAATTAAGCTCAGCTGCCGGCCGGAATGTCGGGGATAATTTGTCAAGACTGGTAGAGCCAAGACTGGTAGCCGTCGCACTTCCTCATTGTCTTGACTCCCTGGGGTAATTTGTAGTTTCTCCCTTGTTATCTCTCCTACCTGCCAGCCAGTCAGCAAGTTAGCCTGTGTTTTGCATTTAAAATGAAATTCGTTTTAATGGCATTGAAATCGACAGCACTGCCTCTCAGATTTTTCAGCGCACGCAACTTTTTGTGAGCTTCTTCTGGGGAGCTCTTTCTGGGTTACCCATTTCTCCGGCTGGCTTTTTACTTTCATTGTTGGCCAAATGTTTCACATGGCCTCTCACTTTTGCTCGTCGACCCATTTAAGCCCGGTTTAAAGTGCATTTTGGCAGTATCCAGTAGCAGCAGTCTGCCCAGAAGCTGAAACTAATGTGTCATCAGCAGTTGATCAGGTGAATGGCAATGACAGTGGCACTGCACCGGTGGTTTCTCGACCCGGTAGTCGCTGTCTGCTGAACTGATCTAAAAATAAGTCCACTTTCGAACCGAAATCCATCAACTTGTTGAAGGTTTTCTCCTCGTTGTAAGCCGATAATTGGATGTGTGCCCAAAAACGAAAAAAAAACTTTCCACACCAAATAATATATTTTTGAAAGGTTTTTTTTTGTGTTGTTGGGGGTGTGTTTTTATGAACACATTTCCTCTGCAAATAAATCCAAGATAATTTATCAAGGGTTCGTTTTCCTATCCTCACATTCGAGGATAGTCCTCTTCAAGGACTACCCGCTGTTCGAACGATATCGAACCTGCCCGATGGGTATCCTCTAACCTCTCTCTCTACCATTGGCACTACTCTGTCTTGGTCGTTTTGTCCTGTGCATTGCTATGGGTTTATGGTACCGGCAAAAAACATAAATTCCTTTTCCAGTTTTTTCAGTTCTTTGCCTGTTAGCTGGCTAAAAAAATGACTGGCAGGCAGGTCATTTGAAGAGGCCTTGTCCGGGTCCCGGGGTACTGCACTCTAATGACTAATCGACCTTGCCGGCCACTCGTAGATCTTGCAGGTAGAAGTGTCACCGCTTTTTGGCAATTTATTTCTTAACAAAAAACAATGCACTCCAATTGGAAACGATAAATTTTTGTGAGAGACTGAAAATTGTCATAAAATTCTTAAGTCTACGAGTCTTGGGTCTTTTTTTTTTAGGAGTGTGGGACTCTGAAATCGGTCAGTCTGCCGCGATGACCTTTTCGCTTTCGGTTTAAGGTTGATGGGTGGTGGCAGGCAGGTTGAACGACTTGTTCTGAGGTTTTTGGTTACAACTGCCCGCCAGAGTCAATGACTGTGGCGTCTCTGGTTGAAGAATGTTTATAATCGCAAGTGTCTCGGCGTTAATTTCTCTTTCTGGAGCTATGTATATGACTCACTACCTTACCGATAGATCAATCGAAAGGGAACTTGGCCAACGCTAAAAGCTTCGAAGCCCAAATCGAAAAACTACTTTCAAAAAAATGCATACAGCTTGTTTCGGTATCGTTTGAGTTTTGATTTCAAAGCGCCTTTTTGTTGTTCGGCTGATTTTTGGGCTTTTTTTTTAAGTGGCGGCTCAACCAGATATCCAAACACACACATACAGGTATCAGAGACTGTCTCAGACCAGCACACCTGTGTGAGTGAGTTTTGGCGTTTTCGGTACATGCCACCTTGGTATGTGGGTCAGTTTGAAATGGGGTTTTGATTAAAGCTCAAAAGAAAGACAGCGAGCTAGAAAGAAATAGATGAAATAATATAATAATAAATATTTAGTATTTAAAAATCCAAAATCTTTTAAGAGAAATATTTAATTAGGAAGTCTGGCTAATGCGGAAGAGGCGTAGCTCTCCCAAAAGACCTTAGCTATTGAACTCTCATCGCTTTTTGCGCAGTTTTTTTATTGAATTTATTTTATGCCTTTATTCACACGAAAGTAGGTTAAGTTTTTTTTATAACGCTTTTTACATTTTTTGTGTGTGTCTGTCTGCCTTTATTATGACTTAATTTAAAAGTGAAAGCGATGAAGCTGAATTTGGGTGATTAAGTAAGGCCCCAAGGCATTGAGGGTTTTTCCCAACACCAACAAAAAAAAAAAACCAAGGGGGAGACAAACTGTGATGCGAACTGTGAAAATGTATTCCGGGTGCCCCAAGAATAAAATATAATAAATGCAGGGCAAGCCT